GCTATCCATAATCACCGTTATAATCTGCGCAGCCGAAGACAGTTTCGAAACAGAGCTTCTCTTGATGATCAAAGCTCATTTCAGGTGTCCAATTTTATTATCAATGATATAAGGATGCTTTTTTTTTACTCAAAAACATCGGAATTGTTTAGATTGTCGAAGTTAGGTTATTGGTTTCACTAAAATGCGTTCACATGCTAAGAAGCACACTCGATTTCCCTGCATTTCCTTCCTCAAGAAAATGCATGAGAGGTCTTCTGTCCCACAAGTAGTACTAATGAGCATTGCGAGCAGCGCTTCCTGCCTAGCGAATACTGATAATTATTCTGGGCTATCTCTTTTAATGCGTTTTTTGCATCTATGCAATGCAAGAAGGCATATTGTCGAGGAGTTATCTGTCTGTATGTGTGTGTGTGTGTCTGAATTTGCGTCTGTACCGATTTTTCATCTCGAGACCTACAAAAAGTGCATGTGCAAGCTCCAATCCCTTAAATGGGCACACTTACCCACGTAGTCCTCACGTACGGGCTCGTTAAGGTTTTTGACGGTTAAGCTGCTAACCTGGGAATCAGAAAAGCTAGAAAGCTGTCATTTTAAGGGGATGTTCTCTGTCCATACATATCTTAATGAGTTCAAACCCAAACTTCAAGTATACGTGATCCACACGTGCAAGCCCGTGAGATTTTTTTACGGACAAGTTGTTAACTCAGGAACCTGAAAGGCTAGAAGGCTGGAATTTAAAGGGATATCCCCTGCCCACATAGGTTTTATTGAGTTTAGTCAGCCCTTACGAACAAGTTACTAACTCAAGAACTTTAAAAGCTAGAAGGCTGGAATTTTAAAGGGATGTTCTCTGTTCACGTAGGCCTTACTAAGTTCAAACCTAGTCCTCAGGTATGCGTGGTTCCCACGTACGGGCCTGTGGAAATTTGACAGGTAAGTCGGAGAACCAAGAAAGCTAAAAAACTGAAATTTTAAGGGAGTCTTTTCTGACAGTACTGGCAGCCAGTCGCAGTTCTTTTAGCTAGGAGCATCTGCTGGAAAAAACAGTGCCGTTAGCGACGAAAACGTCCCACAGCTAGGGGAGGGAAGGGAACTATTATCTTTGCACCGCCAATCGGTGCGCAGGGCAATTATGTTCATTTGACGATTCCTCAACCATACAATAGCAATAGCAGCAAAAGATTGATGCTAATTTTTGCCCTTATTTTAAACGCCCACAAAGGGGAACTTTGGAGGTTCCAATTGCCTCTCAAGTTCTGTCTTTTAGAATGAATCCCCTATTCACATTCAACATGCAGCACGCACGACGAATACAGTCACATGCTGGCGTTTGTAACATTTAAAGCATGCGGCAGGCATTTTTTTGCCACTTTAAAATGTTAATTTTAATAATATTTTTAATAATATTTGCATATTGTGCGCGT